AAGGAAGGAAGAACGAGTATAAACGCAGGGGTATAAGCACGAGCGCTCTTTCCCCGTGAACTATTATAACTCGTATCTGTCACGCCGCGTGTGTTTTCCATCGAAACTACCCCTTTTCACCCGTCCCCGTTCGATCGTTGTAAAAGTTTGCGCTTGAAAGGATTTCCAATCGTGGAAAGGGTTGGGGAAAGTGTGCGGGCCGGCCATAGAAGGCCTGAATCTTTAAAACGCGATGAAAGGTGGTAGAAGGTAGCCTGTAGGAAAGTGATAGGTGTATGCACACGTAGATCAAACGCGATCGATCTCGCGCACATTTCGAATTTCGCGGGCTGAATTCCGGCTGAATTCGCGAACGAAAGCCAGGCCGGGAACGATTTTCTGCGGTTTCTCGCGGCGACTTCTCATGTTTCGCTTGGAAACCCGTCATTTTTCTCACGGCTCTTGCCTTACGCCGTTACCTTCCTTTCTCTCTCTCTCTCTCTCTCTCTCTCTTCTCCTTTCTTGAAACAAGTGTCATCATCGAAATCAAGCCAACAAACAACAAACCTTAAAATTCGTATCTCGCCCCTTTTTTACAATTTACAATCGATACAATCGAATAGATTCCCCCCCGTTTAAGTTAACTCGATCCAGTCGACCTAGCCTTCTGCACGACTATATCGGCGAAATTCAATCCAGATTGAAACTCCATTGTCGCGCAAGAGAGATGCAGAAATAAACACTTACCGGCCGCTCTTGGTGATGACCATTTCCGTGCCGAGTTTGTGGAACTTCTCCCAGAGCTCTTTCCCCTCGAGCGTCACCTTGGGATCGTCCACGACCCCGTCCTCCTCCGGATGATGGGGGGGCACGAGAGGGTGGTGGGGGCCTGCGAGGGGGTGGTGCGGCGCCAGAGGGTGCGGCGAGGTGTGCAGCATCCCCGGAGGCAAGGGAGGCCTGAGCGGCCTCATCGCTGGCCCGCCAGGACCACCTTGATGATGATGGTGCAACGCTGCCGCCGCGGCCGCCAGCACGGCTGCTTCCTCGGGCGTGTGCGGACCCAAGCCTAAACCTGGAAAAAAAGAAAGAAAATGGATTTTAGGGTAATGAAACGGCCTGTGAGAAAATTGAAAATAGTATAACGATAGTTTTGTTGCGTGTAATTCGTGAATTAATTTGTAAATTGATTTGTTGGCCAAGTGTTTGGGGTAATTTCATTAGAATTTTATCACGGAGATTAATTCGATCATTTCGTCCCTTGTTGATAAAGGGTGAAATCCGTGAAAGGGGAGGATTGAAACGCGCACAATTGGAAATGCCAAAGTTATTATTTATTTTATCGCGGGAACCGTTAAATAACTGAGGAACGATAAACTTTATCTTTCTTGCTGGCTGTAAATCAACAACAATACGGGCCCGAGTGTCGGTTTTGATAATGCGCATTTACGATTTCCCCTCCGATGTTTAATTAAAATATTATTAACGTTTAATTCCAATCGAGTTCGCGCAACCACCGCAAAAATAACGGTAACGCAGCATCGCCTCCTCTCCCTCCCGCTGTTTTCGAGAACAGCGTGTAATCCTTTCTGATGGAAAAATATCCGATATTTATCAACGATGACCTTTTGTTATATATAAATTAAACACAGTGAATTGGCAATGGCCCGGTTTCAACCGATCCCACAAATTTTATTAAACGACCGTCGATTCGATAATAACCTCTCCAAGGTGTATAAATGTTCGTATATTCGTATATTCCTTTCGAATCGAAACTATATATAACTTTAATCTTTTTAAAAAGACCGAAAGGGACCCTCGAAAAGATCTCGTTTCCGATCGATCGTCTCGAGAGAAGGGCAATTGTCTGGAATACAGAGATCGCACTATTGACCCTCGAATCCGCGTCAGCTCTATTTTTAAGATGCGCTCGAGGGACGAAGTATATTCGCGATTTTCTTCTCAAAGAGAGAGAGAGAGAGAGAGAAATCCATCTGCCTTCGGGCAACTTTCGAACTTTTCTCAGACAGAGCAACCTTCGGGGCACGAGAGTAGAAGGAGAAGAAGAAGAAGAAGAAGAAGAAGAAGAAGAAAAGTAACAAGTAGTTTGAACGGGTGGGGGGTTGCGAACTGTCAGTCGATCCACCCTCGCGAACTTTAAGCGGTTGTCTTTCACCTTTTTATCCCTTGATCTCCTTCAACCTCGAATCCTATGCCAATTGTGTTTCAATTGGAACGATTATCTTTTCTTTCTTTCTTTTTTTTTTTTTTAATAATCGCCAAGTTCTTTGTAATCGAGATTACAGAACAGAAATGATCGATCCTCGTATCGATATAGGATCGTCTTTCTTTCTTTTTTTTTTGTATTAAACGAACCTTTAAATAAATTTTAAGGAAGAAGTTGTAACAATTTGTTAAATGAGAGTTTCGTGGCGAGACAAATCGCTTCGCGTTTTTCGAATAAATAAATTTCAACGCGTGGACAATGCGTGGAAACAGCGTCAAGTGGCGAGTACGATTTATCGAATAATTCGAAATCATCGTGAACAGAGTTTGAATAGAGTTGGAATATTTACTAGCGTGCAAACATTGGATAAAGTATTGAGCAAATATTATGTACACTTTTGGAATAACAATCGATAAACGAATAGAAATGAAAAACCTTGTTGCAACTTGTCAAATCAAATTTACCGTTTCCCAATGAATCAAATAATTACCTAAATATTCTCCACTCGATTGTCGTGTAATAACATCTTATTATGCTAATAATGCTTCCACAAATAGAGACGATATTTATCGTTCCATACCTCCATCTTGTTTGGGGAAATTTTTGTAAATTCGTCGGCATCCTTTCGGGTAAATTGAGTATCAATAAACGAGCGACAGTTAAGATAACCAAGTAAGACTCAGCTTCCAAGTTCTTATTACCGAATTTTCGATCGAAATTTATCGAATTTTTCCCCCTTTTTTCTTTCTCTCGAACGATATTTCATTTAAACGGATCGCCCCCGTTTAATTTGCCTAATTATTAATCGCTAGGCAATAAAAGAGAGAGAAAAAATTCGACTTTATACGATCTTTGTACGAAAAATCTACGCGAAAAAAGAGAGAACGAATTCGAGCTCGACCACTGACCGCTTTTCTCATGCGAACAATTTCATTATTTACAGCGGCTTATCCTTCGATTTCCAACGTGTTTTCTTACTTCCGATCAATCGCGAACTACCTGTTGCATTGAAAAAAAAAAAAAAAAAAGAGAAAAGAAGAGAAAAAGAAAAAGGAAAAAAAAATAGAAAAAGAAAAATAAAACTCATCACTCTCGTTCGTAAAATTTCGTTCGTAAAATCCTCCGATCGGTTACAAAACTTTGGCGGAAAAAAAGAGAAGAAAAAAAAGGAACTTGTTAACTATCGTGCATCCTCCAATTTTTATACACCGCTATATTCCACGTTGCACAGAGATGCAACATCGACGCGAGATATTCGTCGTTTCGATTTTAAAAAAATTTTTTTAGAGAAAAAAAAAAGAGAGAGAAAGAAAAAAGAAAATCTTTAAACAAAATATTTTCACACTCGATTAAATTTAATCATAATCATTTTTTCATTTCAAAGAGAAAGAAAGATAGATCGTTCTAATTAGCCACGATATATCCTATTTAATAATAACAATGCGTTTACAAATTTCTTTTTCAACCAAGGAATACACGATTGAATAAGCTTGCTCGATTATCGTTCATAACGATGCAAATCACGATTATATTATTTATGAATAATGACACGGTTAATAGTTAACAACACGGACACGGCTCCCGGTATTTTCTTTTCGTTCAATCAATTACCGACAGCGGAGCAGGTAGGAGAAAGAAAGAAAAAAAAAAGAAAAAAAAGAAAAAAAAAAAAAAAGAAAAGAAAAAAAATACAAAACCTGTTGCCACTGTTAATGACTTCATGATTGTTATCATGCAAAGTCCGCGCGAGCCGATCATTTAAATCGATACTATTTATCTGTTTTGTATATACCGTTCCTTCGTGTATCTCGTGTTTCAAGCGAACACCCTTCATTTTTCACGGATAATGGATCCTGATTTTTACGTTTCGTCTCTTCCTTTCACCGCACATTTCGACGAAATAAAGAAAATGGAACGATTACCACTTTTAAAATTTTAAAATTGGCATTTCTTTCCTAAATTTTTTCCTTTTTTTTCTTTTTTTTTTTTTTTTTTTTTTGTTCCTTTATAACGATTTGATAATTTTATTTTTACAAAAGATAAGAATAATCGAAGAATAAAAGTAAATCGAGGCTTCGTTTTTAAATTGAAATTGAAAATTTCTATTTTTCGTTCAACCGTATATTTCGTTCGTTTCTCTCTCTCTCTCTCTCTTTTTTTTCTTTAGCAAAAATCGTTTCCTAAGCATCGCACTCGCGCAAATACTTGATAACTTGATGTAAGATAAATAATTAAAAATTCCTCTCAAATCCCAATGCGCGAGCCTCGATTCAATTCCAATCCTTTCCAACACTTGGAATAGAATATAATACGGATAAAATATAGATAGGAATAAAATGTATCTTTAAAATATATCTGCATTTATTTTTTTCCTATCTCGATTCCTTCTCCCTCTCGAAATTATTCTCGAATTGTGGGAAATTGTTAAAACTCGTGCAAATGGTATTGCACGAGAAATGTTGTGCAATTTGCTTGTTGATTTTCTTCAACAAGCTTTGTAACGATGCAATTTCAACAACGGTGTTGATATTCCTACCAGTTAGAAACGGAAATGTGGTTATTAATAATTTGATAATATTATTTCACCATAAACGATCCACCGCGGTGCAATTAAATTGTATTGTTGTTCCATCATCGCGGCCGGCTAACGTGTACATTTCGAGCGAATTTTTGGAAGGGAGCATGGCAATTTTGGAAAACCTGTGCAACTGTTTCGTGTACGTTCGACGTAATTATTCGAGCATTACCGCTCCCGGAGATAATTATTACCGGTCGTGTTTTATATATTTTACGCACGTTAATGACGATGATTCATCGAGGCCGAGCCGAGTCTCGATTTTCGAACCACTTGTTGGCTCGTCAATTTCCCGAATATGGAATATCGAAGTGTTCCGGTTGTTCGAATTGTTCGAAATCGATTTAATTATATCGCGAATATCGAATACGAAAAGAATTTTCTTTTCAATTTACCTTTCTTCTGTTGTGAAAGTGAATAGATAGGTAAAAAAAAAAAAAGAATAAAAATTATTTAAGAAAAGAAATATGTTATAATTCTTTTAAACATTATTATTTATCGAATAATAATCCGATATTTTGATCAAATATAATTAATAGATTAAATTCTATTGTTCCTTAGTCTTAAACTTTTAAACTAATCATTCTGTAAAATTTTCTTGCGAATAATTGTTGCGAATAACATTCGGAAGATTGAATTCGCAAACAAGCAATTATCGAGATAAAATGGCGGTTGAATATCGATCGGAAGGAAGGAAGAAACGATTTTCCGAATGTTATCGCGTACAATATGAAAAATCGAACGGCGAGTTTCGATAAACGATCGCTCCATTTTTTATCCGGGTAAATTTCACCTGGAAACGTGGACTACAATGCCGGCTGCCATTAATTGCGTCGCTTTCTATCGGTCGTCTGTTTTTATTTTCCCTCCCCTCCCCACGACACCGAACATACCGTGTCTCGAAATGTGAACGACTCGATTCAAATCGATTTCTTCTCGACCAGAAAAAAAAAAATGGCAGGAAAAATTGGACGAATATCATAAAACGATTTTCATATACCTCGATTTTTCTCTATTAAATCGAATCTGTATTAAAAATATAATAATTGTTCTTCGGAAAAAATAACGATATATATATATATATCAATTTTTAATATCTTTATACCGTTCACTCTTCGATCACGATACTAATACTCGCTTTTTCTATCGTAGAAAGATATTGAACGAATAAACATCGGATTGTTTATAAAGAAATATTCACGTTGAAAGGATTTCTATAGGATCGAAATCCAAACGATACGAAGCAATCATGTACGATAAAGCTCGACGAAAA